ATGGCCCGAGCCTGCAGGAGGTCGCCCCGCCCAACGCCCCCGAGGTCCATCCCGTCCAGCCGCGAAAAGAAGCCCGAAGCCATGAGGGCCAGGGGGCTGTGGGGGGAGTCGGCTGGGGGCAGGGGGTCGATGTGGAGCACGGACATGATGGCGGTGCCCAGAGCCAGCCTCAGCACCAACTCTGGTCGAGACTCGTCACAGGGGGCTTTCAGGGGGTGAGCTGGTGACAGGGAGGCAGGAGCATGGGTACAGGGAGGGCACAGGGGAGGCGGCCGGGCGCGGGGAGGGCACAGGGGAGGCGGCCGGGCGCGGGGAGGGCACAGGGGAGGCGGCCGGGCGCGGGGAGGGCACAGGGGAGGCGGCCGGGCGCGAGGAGGGCACAGGGGATTCATTTTAATTAGTGAATAAACAGGCACATTAAACACAGACTCTGGCTCAATAAATACAACAGCAGCGATAACAAGAGGGAAATGGAACAGTGTACTTAGAGCTGCGAGAGTGACCTCAGCTCCACTTTCACTTCCTCTCTTTCTTTCACCAGCTAGAACGAGCCGGCGCAGTACAGAGGGGGCAGTGTGCTCACGTACAGGTCTGCCGCAGGAGTTTCTGGGGGGGCTGGATATCCCGGGTCAAGAAAGGGGGTTCCTGCATCTGCCTTTCCCTCTGCTTAGGGGCGTCCAAATAATCATCCCAAGCCATCTGCTGTGTGCATAAGACACAGGGGTGATCCAACATGTGAGCCATGCTGAACCAAGTAAAGCAATAAAGTTACAGAAGAAAAATCACTGAAGCCAAGAACTGCAAAGCCGGGTGACTGATGGAAAAAAAAAATCACGAAAAAAATTACCTGCAAATAATACAAACCAATAAAAACTTTATTAGGAAAAATCCAAATTATATCTGTGTTTTACTAAAAAAAAATAGGTGAGGCAAACAATACTGACTATTCACCGATTTGATATCGGCCAATCAACTGTATATTTAATGTTACATCATCGGCAGCATTAGCCAAATCCCAGCATGCATCGTAATGTGTAAAGTGCATGAGCAGCCTTTGCTGATTTGGCATTTCTGACCAACCACAACAAAAGGGAAGAAGACTGCCTGAGGCAGAAGAGCAGTAACAAGTCAACCTGGGCACAAGGAAAACATCTATATTTAGTTTAACTGCACTTCTCAGGTCGTTTATTACCCAAACGGCTCCATGAGCTGGTATAGTATGAAGCGGTGAGATACGGCAAGCCGGGAATCTCTGCAGGTCATCTTACTGTCGGTTCACAGTAAAATGATCGCGTGAGCTGCGTAGGCGAGACTCACCGGCGGGTTGTCAGAGGGAGACTCCCCTGGGGAGGGGGTGTAGTTACTGTTGAGGGACAGGTCCAGGTCCACAGTGGGTGGGTCTCCCAGAGGGGGGAGGGATGACAGGCTGTGGGACATGTCCATCTCCGCCATAGAGAAGAACACGTCTTCTGCTCAAAGAGACACAGGTGGTCCCGGGGGGTACATCAAAAGTACCTGCAGATGCGGCGGCAGATTTCAAGGCCCCCTCCAATGCTTTAAACGGGTCCCAGAATCTAACTACCTCGGCTGGATGTGGTCCTGGTAGTGTCAGCCTCAAAGAAGTCCTCGTCTCCCGGTGTGGCTGAGGTCACGCTCTCCTTCTTCAGGCAGCGGCTCAGCTCGGCACGCAGCCGGTTCTCGTCCTCCAGCTGCATGGGCCTGTTCCTCCTGTCCCGGGCCGGGCCGCCCCTCTCCAGCTCTGCCGAGCGAAGAGCGGCAGGTCAAAAAACAGACTTAGAAGAGGAAGTAGTGGAACTGTGCTACGGAAACTCACCCGTGCTAGAAAAGACACCGAGCATGTCAAGAAGGAGGTGGACTTGCCGCGGAGACAGCAGCAGGGCCATCGAATCGATCTGCCCGTCGACATCCAACTGAAAGGCAGCAACGCTGCACCGTTACTCCACCCTTCCAGAACCGGGATCGCGAATAGGAAACAGATGTACGATGAGGCTCCGCCCACCTTCGCGCCCGGTACGGTTTCATTCTGCTTCAGGACGAGGGACAGTTCTACTCGGCCACTCAGGCTGCCGATCTGCGTGGGTTTGAAGGGCGTCGCCGCGGAGACCGGCTCGGTAAACTGAGGGTGAGGTTCACAGGTGATGCGGGGGTTCCAGCTGGGGGAGAGCTTGGCCTCCGTCTCCTGGCAGCGCCACGGAAGCGAGGTGGGGTTAGCACAGACGGTCAACTTGATAGGGGTGGAGGTTACTGCCGCAGATCTCACCACCTTGCCAGACGGCGACCTCAGGCCGTTGCGGGTCGACTCTGAGAACTCGTCCCAGAAAACAGTGACGCCGTGCAGCTGCAGATTCTTGTGAGCGAACGTGGCTGGCTGATGCACGTCCACACCAGCGCACTCGTCGCCGGTCTCGTCAAAGTAAACGATCCTGAGCGGCAGGAGAGGCATGCAGCTTGTATCTCAGTTCAACTGAACGCTAAGAGTTTCATACATAAATGTACTGAAGAAGATCATCTTTAAAATGTATTAACCCTATTAAAAAAAATAGTCTTACTTTGCAACTCGTATCTCAATAGCTATTCCAGTTTTGGAATTCTCCGGGACGTGCTCAATCCGGAAAACAGTCTCCAAAAATGTGACCTTGACTCTTCTCAGAACTGGAAATAGTAAAAAAAAATAAAAAAAAAAAGACTGACTCAACGGACACTGGATGGAGATAAACTATGCAAACTCAAGAAGAGATCAATAAATAAAAGCAGATCCCCTGATAATGTAACTTTAACACAAAAGGAAGCAGATACCCGTCTCTATGGTTTCCGCAAACTTCTCCAGTCCCTCCAGAGGCTGGAAGGTCTCCCCAAGCTCGTCCGTCAGCTTCTGGCTCAGGCACTCCTTTGCCAGCTGCATGCTGCTGGTCATGAAACTGGACCAGTACATGGGCTCTATGCCTGAGGCTGTGGCCACAGAATACTGTCCTGTTGAATCTTAAAAAGATCTAATCCATCCAGAACATACTGACCAGAATCCAAGCCCATACAGCGCTTTGGTATAGCTAGTACTTATCCTAGTACTGCAGTGTGTTGAGTGACAGATACGCAAAAATCTTCAGCAACTACAGTCACCTATCTTTAGTAAGGCTGGGCCCAACAAAAGAGGAAAATCTGTTCCACAACCCCATTCAACACTTACACAACATTTGTATGCTGGGAAACACTCTGCAAACTATCCCAGTAAAAGCACTTAAAATTTATGCATGGCATATAGATCGAGCAATCAATATAAAACTAGTGTTTTTTGCATAGAAATGTCCGCCCCGCAACCATTGCAATTCCCTGTCAAGATGTTCTTACTCATTCTTGGTCTTGGCTTGAACACCATCTCCAAACCTGCCACCTCTAGGGCACAGTTCTCCTGCAGCAGGGATGCCCAAGGCACAGTCAGGGAGATGGTCTGGATGAAGCCCTCTGTCACCTCAAACGGAGCATCGACAGACACCAGGATCTCATTGAAGACCTATGAGGAGATATTGAGAAGGTCTTGCTAAGCATGGACCATCAAACTACAAAAAAAAAAAAAAAAACCTAAATCAATGTTCACTACTGTGAATGCGGCCATCCCCAATATGACTCACCTGTTTGTCCAGCGGTACTTGCGCCAGCGAGCCGGTACCTTGATAGAGATCTAAACTGAGCTGTTCCAAGTTCAGATTCCCCTGGAGGAAGTTTCCCAAATATCGATGCAAGAGGTATCGGCATGCTCGCTTCTTTATGGATTCGGAAAATGGCCAGGGCATCTCGATCGCACGGGGTTGAGACTGTCACGGCGGCGAGAACACGGTTTTGTTTAAATCGCGGGGCAAGACGAGCCACCGGTGCAGAAACAGGCGATGATGCGGTGCATCAGGGTGAGGTGAGAGCCCGGAATGTGTCTAGTCATCTTGTCGGGTTTATTAAATGCGCGCCAATACCCAGAGGACTCGATGCATCAGTTTAATCGATGCGAAGGACCTACGCGGAGCTGATTACGATGTGTTGACTACAGCGTCCTGATCTGCCATGAGGAACGCCTTCACTTAAAAGCCTGTCAGGCCTCAAGCAAAAACAGCTCGGTCCAGATCTCTTCTTAGGTTCTCAAGTAAAGTGACCGGACGGAAATCTAGCCAGGATTGCGTATTAAAACGGTCTCGGCTCCCGAAATGGGATACTACAACCTCAAGTAAAATGTCATACTTATCCTAGCTAGTTACCAAATCGTGTCATGAAATCACCAGCTTAAAATTCCCAGTGCTTAGATCTACATGTAGACAACCGAGCTTTTGTTAGCATCACCTGAAAATGCCTGAGTTTTTTTTTATACACTCACTGTTACCTGAGTGTGAACTACACTTATCACAGTTCAAATACAAGTACTATACTGCGTACTCAGAGTATTACCTCTTTATATATAATATACACATTAAGTCCACATTTAACAACTGTTGAAATCTAAAACATGGCGATGCAGCAGCATAAACCTATACATTTACAAAAGATACGTTTCCATCTGAGGCAGTATAGCTTAGTTCCATCACATATGCTCTCTGCAGTTAAGAAACTAGCTGACCGGCTAGCAGCAACATTTAAGAATTAGCGAGGTGGCTACTTAGCGAAGTGACACACAAACGCCTCCTCGGCGGCCTGAGAAAAAAAAGCAAATCCTCATTTTTATCCCCACGTCATGATTTTACTGTCAAACGAAGATAAAAAGCTCACAGCAACTCATTCACTAACGAGATACGATCAGGCCTGTATTTTTGCATTACACTACATACTCCTTCGTCTCTCGTGTTTACAAACATGCTCAGGAGGCCGTCGTTCACGTCATCATTCCAGGACGGGATCTGAGATACCAGCCATCGCAGCGTCTCACATCACGTGTTCTTGCGCCCCCTTCTCATAAGCCCGAAAATTTCTGTTCTGCGCATCTGATTCGTCGCTACTTGATGAGGAATATTTTGTTCGGTCATATCGAACTTTACTATGCTACATATTTAGCGGCACAATATAACATTCATGATGTACAGTCTTACTTTTACATATGTCCGTATGCTTTTCTGAGTTATTGATACACAACTCACAGTATCTCCATAATATCGTAATCATTTTGTTAATAGACTCCTTTCTCTGAGCTACAGGAACTACAACAAACTGCGTAATGATGCAAGAAGCAATGTAATAATACAGGTTACGTGAATTGGAAGTACAAGAACGTTTTAATGTTTCAGTTGATGGACGTAATCTGTGATCTATCTACTGACTTGCCACCCGTTTTAACTATTCGCGTAGTACTGAGACTAAGCGTGAATATTAATTACTCCTAGATCCGCGCATCAGAGTATTTCAGACTACGTCAGGAGGCGAGAAACCTGTCGCGCTGGAATGACATTATTCCCCGGCATGAGCCGGATGTGTGGTGTTGATTTATCTGCGGAGGAGGTGAGTAGCAGAAACAGAAAAATCAGATTTTGTGTTGTGTTGTTTGCCGTTATCATAACGCAATGGACATATACGTAATTATCTCTACATTTAACAGGCCTGGTGCGAGGTTATTTTGATAAAACCTTTATGAGCAATGAGCAGTGGGTGTCGTCGCCAGCTTCCTGCCTCGCACATTAACGTCTACCTGGTTAATAATTTGGTTTCACATAACGGTCCGATCCTTCTCGATGTGTGTTGGTGGCTTCATTGCCATACTTTACTTCGCTGTAACGCGCAGTCAGATTCTCTGTACTCCCAATGCGGAGTATATAGGAGGCGAGGTACTACAGCACTTCTGATCATATGGTGATGATGATGTCTGTCACATTAGAAACCGTTTCGAAAACTGTTCTGAATTTCGTCTGCTGTTTTAGAGAATGGAAGTAGACTGTAACCAGGGCGATCCAACAATAGACTCGATTGAGGACTGTGTTGGAGACGTGAAAGACATGAGGCTGGAGGCCGAAGCGGTGGTCAACGATGTCCTGTTTGCCGTGGCAGAAATGTATGTCTCCCAGATGCTGAATAATACATTGGATGTGGCATACATAAATGTGAAGACGAGAGAAGGGAATCGTTACTGCCTTGAGCTCTCCGAAGCGGGACTCCGGGTAGGGAACAGAAATGACGCGTCGTCTTAAAGTTTCTCTGTGTCAGATCGTCAACTGAATCTAATCTGTACTTTCTGTCGTTGCAGGTAGTTGGCTACCAGTTTGACCAGGTGAATGAGAATTTGAGCTCCCAGTATCATGAGACTGTTTATTCGCTGCTGGACTCCCTGAGCCCCGGTTATAGGGAGGCTTTCGGAAACGCTCTGCTGCAGAGGCTGGAAAGGCTGAAACAAAATGGACAATAGTGCACCTGTCGCACAAAGACCAATAAATGAAACGAGGGTTGTTGTTGATGTAGGGACCTGTCTGTTAACCTGGAAGCCTGATTTCAAGAATAACATCATATACACACATTCTTCTTGTGCATGTGTCCTGTATTATTGGCAACTTCCGATATGCAGCTGTCAACTTTAAATGGCATACAAATGGCCCTGATATTCAAAGCATGATGACGCTATGCTGTTTGTTGCACATCTTTAAAGGCTTCAAGAAATCTTACATCTAATATAGGAACAAGTACCCCAAACAGCAACCCTCGATGCTTGTTATTGTCTATGGATCATAGATTGCACTAAAATACTTTTTTTAAATGGTCAAAAACTATTGTGCCCTCTGTCTAAGTGCTTGGCATTGGTCTGCATCAGCTGATACTTAAGTTAACTTGGAAAACTTTTTTTCTTGGTGAGGTTTTTCAGCGTAAACTGACCAAAGAGATGGGCTACTGGGAGTGTTACCTAATTATTTTGATTGTTTTCCAAGTATAACTTTGTATAGTTTTACAATTGCCTTAAATATGCATCACGACTGTGTAGCAAGTCCCAGCCCTTCGCTAACATGTTTTAGTTGTTTCCATCTAAATATTCCTTAGATTTTTTTTTTTTTATTGTACAAAAACCATCAGAGAGTGCAATGTTGTGTCTTCACCTGGTGACCTGAATGGAAAGGCTTGGGGGAAAATGTACATTTCTAATGTTTATTTTGTCATTTTAGTTCTAAGTACTAGTTGTGCTTCAAATTCTAGATATTGAGAATTATTTGCAGTTGTGAATCACTTGTATTTTAGTGCTACCTTCCATTTTTGCCCAACATTTTATTGCATTATTTGTGAACAGTTAAAATAATGCTAGCGTCAGGCAAATTATGTCTGTTGCATAAGAGCTCTCAGTGGACAAAGCACACAAGAGACAACACAAAACCACTTGTTGCTACAGTATATGTTTTCTGAAGCATTGATGTATTTTGATTTTTAGACTTTTTCCTAGTGGAGGAAAGGATCGTCATAAAGACAGCCATTGTGGAAAAGTTATCCTCAGCAGTTATGTTGTTTTTCCTCCAACTTACATTTGTATCAATTTGCTGTGTAACTGCTTTGAAGTTGAATACTTCAAACAATTGTCCTCAAATGGCACAAAGACAGTTAACATTTGTATATTTGATAATCATTCTGTACCTTTGTTTTCTACGATTCACTCGTAACAAAACATGCATTACTGCTACACCGATTTTTGCTGTCCCGCCATGGTCATGTTTGAAGTTCACTGTCAAGTGAGTGACTTTGCTCTTGAAGTTTGCTGCTGAGCTACGATATATGTCTTTTCAAAAAGGACATTTTTAGAATTGAACTTCATCCTTTATAACATGACACCGGCATGAAAAGCTTAGCCACCGATTAATTTTACTTTCATGATATGCTTCTGCTTTTACTAAAAAAAAAAAAGTGTCAGTTCAAGACTTTTCATGTCAAACTATTTTAAATAAAAATGACATTTCTGCAACTGATGAATGCATTTGGCAAGGTTTTGTCACGTTTATACCAGAAAAAAAAATCCACTTTTGCAGGAACATAGCTGCATTAAACACATAATGTTTTAAAAGAAATCTTTATTAGATATGCATTAAAAAACATTTCAAAATTACAAAAAAGTTGCAAGGTGAGCATCTGATATAAAACAAACAGAATGCAGAACTGGCCCAAACTAAACAAAAAGTACAAATTGGCCATTTGTGCATTATGTACAAGGCCCAGTTCCTCCATTGATCCCTAGCAAGTTAAAATATTTGATTAAAATCATTCTCAAGCAGAAATAAAATATTAAGAGCTTGATCTTCAGGTTACTTCCATCCAGTAGAAATTGTTCTTAACTTGTTATCTGCACTGGGAATTTAATGCAAAACAGATCCTTGCTGGAATCATCTCTCAGCTCCCACTCCACAACCAGTTTAATCTTGAGATAATTAGGATGGGAGGAAAAGAAAAAAGGTCACATTACTCAAGACTGAAGTAAAAGCCAGTATGAGGCAATCAAATAGTAGTTAAAAGGTAAATTTTAACATCAGTTACAAAGGAATACAATACATTGTGGTGAAAGACGCCACCTTGGAACAAAAGAGGAAGTATTAAGTTTCCATAATACTCACTGAAGGGTATTCGGGTTTGACTGGGAGCTCATTAACGTAGTTGTAACTTGTCTCCTTCTGAATAGGACAGACAATTCCAGACTTGCATCCATCTTCAATGGGTATGGGGAAGGGGATCGGAATACCAGCTACTATCCCATGGACCACTGCTTTGCTTGTCTGGCTAGCAACATCTTTAGTGGATTAAAAGGGACAAAATTCAGGCAACTGGAGCTTTGCAGCTGGTTATCAGTTTTAGTTATAGTCATGCAGTGACGTACCACTACTGAAGGTCACATTGACAGAATATGACTGTCCTTTGCGAAGCTCACAAGGCTGCTTTGGGCATGGGGTTATATCAACCGCAGTCACCTTCCCTACCACAGAACCTAAATGGAAAAGTAATGCCACTTAAATACCAATACAACTTTATTTTTTCCCCGTACACTTGTTAAGAAGGACATTTTAAAAAAAGTTTCAAAGTAATGCTAACGGGAGTCTGGCAGAAGTGACATTCATCCCTGAAATTATGAAACTTTTAACTCATTTATAAACAACTGCGCGTGCCAAATGAATCTCAGCAGCCAAAACAAGTGCCTTATTGTTAATGAATTACACATCACAGGTACAGGAAACAGCAACATAAATTAAAATGAAAGCAACTCTCGATCTGTGATTTCACCATGATAATGAAGAAGAGAAAATCATGTGGATACGTACCACAGTCAATGAACTTCACAGGCTCGGTACAAGTGACAGCGAAGAATGAGAAAGAGATAAACAAAGCACGAAATTCCATTGCTTATGCACACGCTGAAAGAAATATTACATTCACTTTGTGAAACACTGTTTCAGGCATACGGAATAGCAGAAAATAAAATGCACTATCACCTGACCAAGCGAGACTCAGCAGATAACCCAGTCACATGATCAATGACTAACTTCACTTTTCCCCCACCTTCGTTCCATGAGGGTATTACAAAACACGCACCGTTAGAAAATGTCAAAATGTAAAAAAACAATAAGAAACCTAAAACTACTACTAATGACCCCTTAAACGCTCATTAACACTTTTAAAGCTATTTGTTAGTACTAACCTGCCAATCCGGAGACCTCAACCCCACTTCACTCTTACCCAGTGGCTGTATTATTTCCTTGTCAGGAGCTCGCGCTGGCCAGCATTTATCATTGGGCCCTCCGTCATCCAGCAAACGAGCCAATCATGTAAAAGCAATTAGACTTCCTGGGTCCTCGTAAACATCGCTTTCATGACGTCTAACTTCAGCGACAGGAGAGCTAGCCAATCGCGTTTCTCTTATGGCCAAACCAGGCTTAGAAGGTTATGGAGGATGTCATTAGTTTGGGGAACTATGTTCAATGTAGTAAGAGTTACAGCCCGGAGTCTTGGAAGGTAAATAAATCAGGGTTTATAAAGGGTGGATGAATAACGTAGCTGAGTGGAAGACACTCCGTATCAACCCGATAAACTTAATTTTGTTGTTGCTGTAGAGGAAAATGATGACGAACCCATTGGGTAGCCAAGATGCTATCAGCACATTTGGAATTCATGTTACAGTTATTCGTTATCACGTATTTAAGTGTTTGGGACAATTAAGAGGAAAGGCATGCAGAACCGACACCAGATCGATGATTAGCGAATTGCAAGCTTCTTATATAACTTGCTGAGTAAAGTAATATGTTCTTGGCTCAGTCGGAATGCAGGCTAATTCTGTAAATCTCATCTTTAAATTTATTTCGTAAAAGGTTATTTGCACCAATTCGAGCAATCTTGGGAGTACATTCATATGTTATGTGCAGAATGAAACGAGTTAGCTGTTTTACTGATGTAGCAAAAAGAACTGAATCTGTTGCATGTTTTAATCTCCGTATTTTGTTTTCATTTCGCCAGGACGTCTTCTCAGACGCTTCACGGTGCTAGGCATCCTGTCCTCTTCCGAGCACCACCGGTTAACCTGTATTTGGTTTCTGCTGGGAACCGCCGCTGGAACAGCTCTTCAAAAGAGGAGAAGCCGAGCGACCCCAAGCTGGCTGACTATAAAGTCTCCCTCAGTGAATCGTGTGTGAAGGTGGAGGAAATCACACAGTGCATTTCATAATGTTATACTGAAAGTTAGGCTTAAAGACACTGAACAAATTTTTGTGTTTCATTTGAAAGTAATTGCGATATTCACTGGTTTTGTTTTCAAATTCTAAGGATCCTTTAAAATTCTATTGTTTTTTTTTTCATTTTGCAAGCTCCAGCGACCTAATCCTATTAAATAAACAGGTTTATCCTTTGTTAATAACCAACAGACTCGCGTTATGCCAAACGATTTGCAGATTTGTCAGATTAATGAAATATGACAAATTTAAAATATAAATACTCATACTGATCCGCCTGTTTCAGAGACTGCAAGAAATCATGGACAAGGGGGAGTACCTGAGAATTCGGGTAGAGGGGGGAGGGTGCTCTGGCTTCCAGTACAAGTTCTCCATTGACAGCACGAGGAATGAAGAGGACAGGTACATTTGTCATCTGTTCCTTCTTGTTTGACCACCTTACCTCTCACCATGAACACAGCTAGGCTTCGGTGATCATTTCCGGTGATTTACTATGAATTCCACTGAATGGCGAGACAGTAATTCAGCACACATCACTGATGCTCATTCTCCCCTCTTTCCCTCTGTAGGCTGTTTGAGCAGGGTGGTGTGGGCATCATAGTGGATGAGCAGAGTCTGGAGTTTGTTAAGGGCTCCATGGTGGACTTTAGCGAGGAGCTGATACGCTCCTCCTTCCAGGTTCTCCGCAACCCGCAGGCAGAGCATGGCTGTTCCTGTGGGAGCTCATTCTCAGTTAAGCTGTGAGGACTTTGCCAGCAGAAGATTAGTAGAGATCCCCAACGTGTGGCTTTTGGTAGAACAATATATAAAAAGGCCTATTATGTAATAGTATAAATACTCACAGAGCCAATCTACTGCTTCAGTTGCACTAAAGATTATGATTAAAATCACTTGCTGCCCGAGATCTCAACTAATGGTGTAATCGGTAGAGGACCATTGAGTCTCAAAGGACTGGCTTTTTTTGCCAGTCAATTTAAATGCAGGAGCTGTCGGCGCTGTTACTTTCAGCGCAGGTATCCATTTTAGTATAATAATGCAAAAGCAAAGATGGGAAGTTGAGCAGACATTTAACCTGAATCTATTTTGAGTAGATTGTTTTTAATTAAGCATATAAATACACTGTATTTGAAAGTTTTGGAATTTGTGTGTTTTTTTTACTGGTACAGTAGTATCTCCACTTTATGAGAGAAAGGGGGACATCATTTCATTACTTATGTTTGGAAATGGTTTGGATAGATCAATGTTAAATATTCAGAGTTTGCATGTACTGCTTGTCTGTATGTAAATATGTTGTATTTTTTTCTGAAAGTACAATAAATATTTAAAGAAATCCTGTGGTGTATTTCTCCAAAGAACTAATATTTCACATTTTCTCCAGCCTTTTTCTGGCTTTTCATAGCTTCCGTAATTGTATCTTAATCCTTTTTCTAGTCATTGCACTGTTTTTGCATTATTGAATTTATAGCATGATCCCTGAGTTGTATGTAAGGAATTTCAGCCTTGCACATTTAATCTAATCACCTGTCAAACGATGGTAAAGCAGGGTTTCCCGTTATCATACTATAGCAAGCATTTTTATTGCGAAAAGCCATTTTTTTTACCCTGAGAAACAGATAAGGAGTCACCAATAGATTTTGAAGGTTAAAGTACTGCACAAAAACCCTGGCCCCATGTCCCCAGTGAAAAACAATCAAAATAGAGTAGTTAAAAAGTAATTTAATACCCTCCATTTTGCAATTAGTGGCCACCATTAATCTGTGACGTTAATGAAGAATTATGGGCAATAAGAGCAAACTGCATGGGAATGTGGGAAATTGCAGCACCGACTCGCATACCAAAAGTAATTTAAAAGATCAAAACCGCTCCTTGTTTAACAATCTGCATTAGTATGTGAGGTACATGAAGCATCTCATTTCTAATTACTGTGAGTATGCAGGTTATTCCCAATGACATTTAGAGGGAGGAAGTATTCTGTGAGCTCAGACCAAAGCATGAAGATAGTGATGTGAGGTGAAGTCATCAGACTTGATGGAGCCAGAGCTGTAGCCCTGCTCTAGAATAGATTACAGCTAATTCCCAGTATTGTTTTGTGTTGAACTTTTCATTTTTCATGCAGGCTGAAAGCCTCCAGCATGCAACAGCACCGGTGCCACCGGGCCTCAGGACAGCAGCGCATCTCAGGTTTCCCCCTCCGCTTAAACGGCTGTGATGGCTGACCTGTCATCAGGCAGGCAGAAGCATCAATGGTGGTGCCATAACGTTATGTATGACATTTCTGTAGTAAGCCACCACGTCCATGAAAAGGCCAGCACGGCACAAATGAATGTTTTATGAAGGCACCATTTTTTGGTCTCATTCTTAATTCAAATGGCTGCATGAAATATTCAAACGACTACATAAAAAAAAATCTTAAACATGACACCTCGTCCCCTCAATAAAAACGCATCAAAGTATTAGATGATGTCTTCTAAAAAATTTTTAATTAAATTTGAATTTAGGAAACATTTCACAAAAAAATACAAAAGAATGTTACAAATGATATTTACATTGATATCAGGAAAATTTATATATGCACTAAACACATTTCAGCATATATACAAAATAAATGTATACTAAGAAAAAAAATATTTTTGCACTTTTTTGATTGATGTGTCTGTTCCCAAAACATTCTTATTGAACTGAGCTGTGATTGAGAAATAAACAATTTGGTTAAAAAAAAATGGCTACAGTACAACACATTATTTCAAAATGAGGATATGACCTTAGAAAAATCTCTTTTAGCAGCACACAAAATAATAATCTGAAGAAAAGCAACAGTGCATTGAAAATGCCCTCCATTTTTTTCCGTTTACTTTGACTTTTCCAGGGCTTTTGGTTTGAGAGGGATTGTCTGTCGTTAAGCCATGCAGGCGTAGGCGGAGCGTGCCCACGCACACGCACGCCATCTCCGCACACACATCGGCGAGGGTTAACTGCTGCATGTCAGTTCTGCAGGATCACGCGTCTTCATGGCGTTTCAGCTTCCACCGGCAAACGCATGTCTACGCCAACAAACCGTCGGTGGCGCCACAGTGACCGGGTCGCTTATACTAGTGCATAGTTTGCTTTGGCATGCTGACATCCAGAAGAGAACTCGGATGGTACATTCAGGAAGAAGGCCACGGGAGATTTGATTTGAACGACAGCAAAAAAAAAAAAAAAAAGAAAAAAAAAAAACCCATCTGAACTCTCAAAGTTAACAAAAAATACTGAAGGTAAACCTCAAGCCAAAGATCCACACCAGCTGTAGCTGTACACACAACAGGTAGAGTTTAAGGCTAATTATGTTTTCTATGCATATCATTAAAAATGGCATTTTCTTCATTATTTATACAGACGTGGACCATCTGGGACATTTGTGCCTCTAAAAACCCACACTCAAAAACAGGAGTATACGAAACAGCGGGAAGAGCGGAAAAGTTGCCGACGGAATCTCTGTGGTGCATCCAAGTGTTTTGCGGTCTTTCCTGTGATTTGAAACCTTTGCGCACTGTACTATGGATTACCCAGAAGTGAGGTTGTTGTGGACAGTACTTTCGGGGGCGGTGTGACAAACAGCATACCGCATGCTGACTTGCTCCAGCCCCCTCTGATCTGCTAGCTGCCTGGTTTGCTGTCTCTGTAACATGCAGGCGTCTCTTCTTGGGTTCTTTGCATTCCTTAGCCATGCTGGATTTTCCATGCGGCCCCCAAAACTATGGTGGCAGTGCCCCCAGGGTGCCCCCTAGTGGGGGGTATGAATACACTTCCAGACAAACAGGCTACGAAAGAGACAGATGGGATAAGAGATATTGCCATGCTTAATGTAATGTCACAACAATGCATGTATGTCACCTCCAGTTTAATTATGTCACACCCAAGGACAGAGGGGATGTATGCAAATGCTAACATTCAGATTCATTTCTGAATCCTTTATGTGGTTGGACTAGAGCCCAGAGCTACCATCTGTGACCCTCATTTGTGCCGCTGACCGGCAAGAGGCTGTGGAGAGCTGTGACGGTGGAAGAGTAATGGGTTTACCTTCTGTCATCGCCGCCTGCGCTGATCACATAGTGGTCTCCGCTCGTAAAGCGGACGTTTGTCAGGTGGGCAGAGTGGCCCAGAAAACGCTTGTGTTTGGCCTGCAGAGACACAGGAGACAGTTTGCTCATAGAACCGAACCCAGTAATATCTGTCAGGATGGAAAGGAGCAGAATATGCAATTTTATAGGAGGGGGGTGTCTGTGCCAGATTTCATCAGCTAACAGTAGAGAAAGGCATGCAATGATTATGCTGGAAGCAATTTGCCTACAGTACAAGTGACTAGGTTAAAAGGACAGTTCAAATGTTTAAATACTGACATACAAATGTTATTTTTATTCTCACAGCAACTATTAAAAAACAAAAACTGCATATAAAATATTTGTAAACTGGAAGTCATGCTAAAATTGCCATATAGAGAACACAATGAACATTAGATATTAGGTAGGAGCAGACAACAAAAAATGGCGACTTTTAGTATAAATAAATGCCTGTTTATTGTAGGATTGTATTAAAATATGATTTAGTTACTAAATAATCTATTGTTATATAATCCATGATTTGTATCAAACTCAGACATACTATGAGTAGCAGAAGCATTATCTGATATTATACTAAGCAGAAATATTCATGAAACATTGTGTTGCACTACAGTAGAGTAACGTGCACAATTCACACAGAGACACAACCAGCATATCGTAAACACGGATTATACTTACAAACTTTTCTGGACATGGAAAGTCAAACAGCTTTACCATTCCAAAGTCATCGCCTGTGACGATGTTCAGGCCAGAGTGGGACACACAGGCACAGGTTACGTCCGCTTTATCGGTATTGCGGGACCAGATTCCCAGCACCTCGTCCCCTAGGACACTGGGCAAACAGCAAGAGGCCGCTCATCGCTACAGACACTTGGGGCTCACACCGACTGCAGCTCTCTCCTCCTGAGATACAGGCCAGGGCTCCTCTGCAGAAGGCCAGCTGGGCAAATACTCGTCTCACGAGTTCAAGCAGTAAGTAGACTCCATTACATTGTATTTATGAAGAATAACCTCCTCGACTAGAGGTGAAATGTATATACATCTTCCCCTAGTTTGCGATCACATTAGTCAGGCATTAGTTTGTATAGTGTCTGACACTCAGGGCTCTGGGCTCACTGAGCACAGCTGGATGGATGGATGGATGGATGGATGGAGGGGTGTCTGACACGCTTGTGGCTCCTCTTAAGCCTGCTTACCTAGTCCACGTGGCCCAGGTGATCCTGTCAATGACTGTCTGCTCAGTGACTTGCTTTCCTGAAGGCACTTCATATACCAGCCGTTTGTAAGTGCCAGTGGACAACTGCAGGGAGGCAATGCGGCTTACAGTGTGGGGGCTTCACACAAGGCAGACGGCACACGGCTAATCTTCTCATTTTGATTACATTACGGACTCAAAAGTTGCTCAATTAGGGTGGTGTGATTACATTGCTGCCCACTGTTCAAGGTACAGGGGCCACAGTCAGTCACAACACTTGCGTTGTCTTTGAAAGGCGCTTACGTTCCCTGTCTGCTTCCTTGCCTTGTCTTAACCCTACGGTGCCTCAGTTGTGTGGCTCCTCACCTGAATGTAGCAGTTGTCCGCTGAGAAGTCCATGTGTAAGATGAAGCTGGGAATGTCCCTGCAGCTGGTGATGCGGTTGAGCGCTGGGCCCAGCGTCAGGTCGTAAAAGTCCACCGCATTCTCATTGGAGCCCACTGCTAGGTATCGTGAGCTGGGGCTGAACCTATAGAGGGACAGGTGGACAACGTGGGGTCATGCAGACTGACACTTAGCATCAGTTAACACAGTGTCCCATCACATTATAGGAAGAAAGTGCATCTTGTAACACCATGATTAGCATGTGTGTGACCTTTGACCCCTGCAGAATGCACTAACAAGGCACTAGAGGAGCTGGGGAGAGCGTTCCGACCTGATGTCCTGGATGGTGCACCGCCGATCCCTCTTCTTGCCCCAGATCTTGAGCGAGGCGACCAGCAGGATGATAAACTCGCCGTTCTTCATGCCGATGGCCACCATGTCACCCTCAGGGCTGTAGCAGACGGTGCAGGCCGGGTGGCCCAGGTTCACCTTGTTCAGCATCTTCTGCTTCCGCGAAAGGACATGAAAACACAATGAGGCGTCCTGCACACGCTGTGGCACTCCTGGGGCAGCCTTGCCTCTCAGGTGATTAATAAAACACTCTATTATATGCTGCGTGTGAAGAGGGAGCAGGCAGTTCCCAGCCCACAC